GTACATACCAAAACAGATACGCGAATAGCATCCCCAGAGTCTGTCTGGTCCTTACCGCTGCTTTCAATTACCTGCCAATATAAACAGAACATTCTTGATTTAGTTATCGCTTCCATTCAGCTACAGAAAATAGTCTTGGAACGGCTATATTACAGAACTATTTTGGAATTCAGAATTCTATACCATTCTGAAAATAGTGTGTGACCGACTGCTCCGCACATTCATGTTGGTCTCTCCAAAATGCCTATTCGCTAAAAACAAAAAGAAATAGTAACAAACGGTTACACATGTTTCGCATATGGTGAAAAATAAACCATAGGGACAAAAATGTGCCTTCTCCAAGCTGGAGGAGCTCAAGCACTTGCTCTGCGCTGTTCACAATCTCCTCCCGCAAACCGGCCACATACACTCCACGCTATAGGCAACAATAAATTTTCATTATTACAAAAACCTGTCCAGAAATCAGAGATAAAATATCCAAATGAGTACTTACCTCTAAGCTCTCATGAATCCGCAGCTTTTGGCCCTCAATTGTCAAGAGATCGTTGATCTCCTCGTTGTAGATCTCCATGTAGGACACCCGGATGAGGAACTCGCGGTCGTCAGCCTGACCCAGGCAGAACCAAACCCAACAAATCACTCACGTGCATCAGAAACAATCGCAGCAACCAATCTAACAATCGCACCGTCTTGTTCAGGGAGCAGTTAATCGAGCAACCAACCCACCTGGCGCACGGTGTCGAAGACATCGCGGACCGCGCGGGGAATGATACCGGGGTCGGCGTCGGAGCCGTTCATGGTGAACGTCTTCCCGCTGCTGGTCTGGCCGTAGGCGAAGGCGGTGCCGTTGAACCCGCCGACGACGGCGCCGATGAGTTCCCGGACGAGCGCGCCGTAGATCCGCTCGTTGGTCGCCGCACCGTCGAACACGTGGTCTGCGGAGCCAACCAACCAAGCAGCCCAAGGAAGGAGGCACGAGCGGGCGGGTTTAGGGGTCGAGGGCGAGAGTGAAGGAGAGGGAGATCGTAAGAGGAGGGGGGATCCGTACCGAAGGCGAAGGAGGCACCGGGGACGGGGCTGGCGGCGCGGTGGAGGAGGGAAACGCGGGTGTTGTCGATACGCCACTCACGGTAGCCGCCCCCGCCCGCGCCGGCCGGGGAGGGGTCAGCGGCCTCCGGGTTGGGAGGGCGGAAGCGGACGGCGACGGAGATCTTCTCCATGGCGCGGCGGCGGTTGCTTCGTTCGCTGGAGGTGGAAGGAGGGGACTCGGAGGAGGATTTCAAATTTCGGTGTGAGCGGGGAGCGGGCTACAGCCTACAGGAAACAGGAGGAGCGTGTCCGTGGTGCTTTGTAAAGCTCGTGCGCTGGGCTGGGCTGGGCTTATGGGTTTACTGGGCTGTCTGAAAGAGTTTCTTCTGTTTCAGATTATGTAGAAATTATAATTCCCTTCCCCTCAAAAAAAAGAAATTATAATTCCCTAAAAAGTGATAAAAATATTTTTTATGATTATCTAGGATAAACTCTACTCCTTCTATCCCAAAATTATAAATTATTCCAACTTTTTTGAGAGTCAAAGCATCTCAAGTTTGAGCAAATTTATATAATAAAATAGTAAAAAAATTATGATATCAAATAAGTATCATTAGATACTTCATTAAATATATTTTCATAGTATACATATTTGAGGTAATAAATATTTGTAATTCTCTCTATAAATTTGGTTAAACTTGAGATGCTTTCACTCTTTAAGAAAATTAGAATGACTTATAATTTGGAATGGAGGTAGTATGTATATAGTGATTCTATGCGTGGAGTGAATTAGCAGAAGCTACCTTTTCTAGTTCCTTTGTCCTATAAGTAGTTTATTTAAGAAAATCACTTCACATAATCAGATAAAAATCGCTTCACAGAATTTGATGTATATGCTCTTTTCTATGCAAAATGAAAATCAGATTGGATTCTTAAGCTAGATTCACGAGTAGTGACAACTGACAAAGGAATCAAACGAATGTGATCTTAGTGCACTTATTTAAGATTCATTGCTTTTACATTTGAATGGCTAGTCTATAGTAGCCAATACGTGTGTTGGTAGTAGCCAAGATTATACACTGAGATCAATAGACAAAATTTCAAAGGTGTACACTTTAAGGCTACTTTATTCATTAGATCATGTGTATTAATAAGAACTTATATTCCAATAAAATTTGGCGCGCCAGCTACATTTCTGCAAAAAAAAAAAATGCCAAGCAGCGGGAAAAAAATTCGCTACATCGCGTCTGTAGTCCACATCTGCTGCATACGGAGTCACACCCAACCTATCCGACGCACGTGACGAACGGACGCCCGGCTCCTCCTTCACCACGCTCGGCGCAATCAAGCTGGCAAGCACGCAATTTAGCCGGCTGCAAAGCACGCCCATGCGCTCAAAACGAGGTTTCAAGTTGCTATTGATTGCACGCGCATCGGGATTTTTTGGAATATAAAACTTAAATGCAAATATCTACTAAACCAATATCCAATTTTTAATTTTTTTAACCATTGTATTCCTTATGATTTGGTCTACAAAACAAAATCACACATGTCTATATTTAGAAGAAGAAAAAATAACGACGACACGTAGACCCTACACGTCATATTCATATTTGTCAGAAAATTTGGCATGGATGGCTCATGCAAACGATATCTAAGAGCCTTTCTAAAATATATTCTCTAAATCATCATTTGAGAGTAATTTGAGTAAAAGTCCCTTTCTATATCGTTGTATCCTTCAATAGGTTTTCTATATCTTGTGCGTAGTGTACAAAGCCATCTTCATTATTCATCTTTGGCTAGCGAGAAATCCGCAATAAAGGATGTCTATATTTGGATATCTAATTGAAGAGGCTGGTGGAGGATTTTTTTTAATTAAAATCTTTTATTCCTGTAAATTAGAAAGAATATAAAGATATTCTTGGAGATGCTCTTAACCATTTTTTTATGAGGGCATTAGCCAAATTTTAGTAGGGCTATGAATCAAACAACATAGTTTTGTACATGTTTTGGTATTGCCGCCTCTTTGACTATGGACAAACTTTTAGCTTGCCTGATGTTAGTCACTACTTTATGCTCGTAAGGACGTACAGTAACTGTAATTTTTAAATATATATTGATATCCTTCCTTTCATCTGGCTCAGGTTCATGTGCGTAGATAAGGAACTCCTCCAACTGTCTAAAATAAGTGTCGTTTTTGTTTTTCGATGAATCAAGTAATTTTAACTTTAACTAAATATGTACAAAAAAATATTGATATTTATATAATTAATATCATTAGATAAATCATTGAATCTATTTTTATAATCAACTTATTTGGAGATACAAATGCTGTAAATATTCAAGAGTATGTGCTAAAATGGCTCTTGTAATACCATCATATCCAAACCAGCAAGAAGTTTCTATCTAATTAATATCTAGCAGTATATGTGCCGCTCGTATATGTCCTACTTACAGTGGCCGTGTTGCGACATTCGACAAGGTAGGAATCTCTTTTTTATATAAAAAATACTTTTATCCTAAAATAAATCTCAATCTCTTATTTCAATGGGTCAACAAATCTTAACTTTAACTTACGCATATCACAAATTATTTTACTGTAAAATAATATAATTATCTTGTATATCATAAGTATTACTAATATTCTTTTATATATCTGGTCTAATATTCTTTTTATATTCTTTTTTATATATCTGGTCTAAGACTTTGTGACCGAGGGAGCAGAACACAAATCGAACAAATCGCGCTGTGTCAGCATACGGCAAAGGGCGAACGTGGCCGTGGCGCCATGCCCATCCCGAACCCCGCGCCGCAAAAAAACCTCAGAAAAACCCAGGCCCCGATCCGGATCCGGGCCCCAGCCGCCCCGCACCGTCACGAGCTCACACGGCGTCCCCTCGCTAACGGGATATTTAACTTTTTTTTTTTGCCATTCTAATGGTTGGCACGAGCTCATATAAAGTCCTAATTTTTTACCCTCAAACTGACCAAAACTTTTAATTTGCAGATATTTTGACTACGTGGCACGCCCAGTCAGATTACCAGCATGGCAGGTGCACGCAAAAAGACCTCGTTGTCCCTTGCCTTATCCCTTAATCGTGTGGGCTCGCTCTCTGTATCCTCAGCTACCCCTATTCTTCTTCTTCTCCAACGGCTTCTTTCTCTTCTTCTCCATAGGTGGATCTGAACGCCACACTCTCCAATGCACTCCCACTCCTTCTTGCGGACCTCGCCATCCGTTGCGCTATGTGAGGGGGAAAAATAAAGTTGGAGTGCACCGAAGAGTGTGGCGTTTAGATCCACCGATGGAGAATAAGAGAAAGGAGCCGTTGGAGAAGAAGAAGAACGGGGGCAGATGAGAATACGGGGAGCGAGCCCACACGATTAAGGGTAAGGCAAGGGGCAGCGAGGTTTTTTGCGTGCACCTGCCACACTGGTAAGCTGACTGAACGTGCCACGCAACCAAAATATCTACAAATTTAAAGTTTTGGTCTGTTTATGGACAAAAAAAAAACCACATAAAAAATGGCAATTAAACTCGTACCACCCATAAAAGTGGCAAAAAAGTTAAATATCCCCTCGCTAACCGAGCGGCACGGCGCTCACATGTGCCCGGCCGCCTGCCTGCAGCTTGACCGATCCATCAGAGTACCAGACCCACAGCATCACCCGCGCTTTATCCAGCAGGAACCACCACCGCTTCCTCGGCCGCTGCAGCCGCGCCCTGCCCGCCCCGGCCGAGCCGCGCCCCCGTTTCGCTCTCCTCTCGCATCACGCTGCTCACAGCTCACTCTCTCCTCCGTCTCGCCCCGTCAAAAAGGAGAGCCACCCCCGGCCCCCGCGCCGCGCCACCCGCCTTTGGCCTTTGGTTGGCCTTGGCCCCCTTTCCCCCGCCTAGAAACCCGAGCTTAGCCTTGTGCCGCACACTTCCCAGTTCCTCCCGCCACACCCACACGCGAACCAACCTCGCCATGGCCGCGTCGGAGTCCGTGCCGAAGGGCGGCAGCGGCGGCGGGGGCGCGCCGAGGCCGCACGGCCACCTGGCGCTCCCCGCGGGGCGGGTCCGCGAGGGGCTGGCGTTCGCGGCGGGCGCCGTGGTGTCCGCGCTCGTGCTCCTCTCCTCGGCCTCGGTGCTCGCGCCGCCGCCCGTGCCCAACATCGTCTCCCTCCCCCTGCCCCCCTCCGTCTCCGCCCACGCCGCCGCCGCCGTCGGGAAGGGCCCGCGCACGTTCTACGACGACCCGGAGCTGTCGTACGCCGTGGGGGTTGGGGGGCGGCGGCGCGTCATCACAGACTGGGACGCGAAGCGCGCGGCGTGGCTGCGGACGCGGGGCATGGACGCGGCAGCGGCGGCGGTGGCGGGGCGGGTGGTGATGGTGTCCGGGTCGCAGCCGGAGCCCTGCAGGGCGCCGGCGGCGACCACGCGCTGCTGCGGTTCCTCAAGAACAAGCTGGACTACTGCCGGCTCCACGGGATCGAGCTCCTCTACAACACGGCGCTGCTGGAGCCGTCCATGGTGGCGTACTGGGGCAAGATCCCCGCGGTCCGCGCCGCGATGCTGGCGCACCCGGACGCCGAGTGGGTGTGGTGGGTGGACGCCGACGCCGTGTTCACCGACATGGACTTCTCCCTCCCGCTGGACCGGTATCGCCAGAAGAACCTGGTGGTGTACGGGTGGGAGCGGGAGGTGTACGAGGAGGAGCGGCCGTCGTGGGTGGGGCTGAACGCGGGCGTCTTCCTCATCCGCAACTGCCAGTGGTCGCTGGACCTCATGGACGCGTGGGCGCGCATGGGGCCGGCCTCGCCGGAGTACGCGCGGTGGGGGAAGACGCTGCGGGAGGAGCTGGAGGGGAAGCCCAACGACGAGTCGGACGACCAGTCGGCGCTCGTGTACCTGCTGTCCAGGCACCCGGAGCGGGCGCGCTGGGCCAACGCCACGTTCCTCGAGTCCGGGTACTACTTCCAGGGGTACTGGGCGGAGATCGTGGACCGGCTCGACGGCGTCGCGGCGCGGTACGAGGCCGTGGAGCGCGGGCGCGACGGGGCGCGGCTCGGGCTCCGCCGCCGCCACGCGGAGCGCGAGCACCTCCTGTACGCGGCGGCGCGGCGCGAGGCCGTGAGGCGGCGCGATGGGAACGGCGTCCCCGGGCCCGATGGCGGCGGGCAGAAGGGGTGGCGCCGCCCGTTCGTGACTCACTTCACGGGGTGCCAGCCCTGCGGTGGCGCGCCCAACCGGATGTACACCCGGAGGCGGTGCGCCGAGGGGATCCGCCGCGCGCTGGCGTTCGCGGACGACCAGGTGCTCCGCGCGTACGGGTTCCGCCACGCCGCGCCGCTCAGCGACAGCGTCACGCCGCTGCCGTTCGACTACCCTGCCGCGCATTGATGGATGGCACCGTCGGTGGGCGGCGGTGGGTTCGTCGACTGGTTACGGCTAAATTAAATGCGACAAACTATGAATGCAGATTGTGTCAGTCAGTGTGTGCTGTACATTTGGATTTGGGTGTCATCATACTCATACCGTCAGGGATTCGGGCCTCTTTTGTTTTGATGAGTGGGCAGATTTGGGCCTCTTTTACCGAGTTGGTAACGCATGGATTTCGTCCAAAAAACTGAAATCACTGTGTCGTCGTGTAGGACATTGCCTTCCACTAAAAAAAAAGTAGGACATTGCCACAATGTAACCGGTGGATTCTGCAGGAATTTAGAACTTGAATGAAAGAAATCCCACGTTCGGGACGTGGTCAAAGCTTGTCTTGTTTATTGCGAGTTTGTCCAGCACACGAGGAACAACCGAACAAGCTCCTCGTCTCGTCCTCGTCCGTCTCGTCCGGATCTAGTCTCGTCCGTTCGAGAAACAAATATGAACACTTATATGGATAACTTTCGGATATCCGTTTTTTTTTCGGATCACGATACTAAAACGGATATCTTAGGCGGATATCAAATACGGATGTAATATCGGGTCGATATCCGGCGGATATCGGATAATCCGGATAAGATCGGATATATCCGGATATTTAAAACGGATATTATCCGGATATTTATTCAAAATTTAAAATCACAAATTTGAACCATCCAAACTATCTCAAATGGAAAGTTGACCAAAAACAACAATTGTAGATCTTGATGAGTTGAACAAACTTGGTATTCAAAACTTTTCAATTTGAAGTCATTTAGAGTTCATAATACTAGAGTCAAAGTGTTGTTTTTTCATTTGACCAAATTTGACTTGGTCAAACTTGCTCAAATAAGACACTAAATGACCTCAGATGAAAAAACTCTGAATACCAAGTTTGATCATCTCAACAAGATCTACATTGTTACATAGCTCATTTTGCGTTTTATCAAACACTAGTCATAAATTCTTGAATCTCATATAGACTTTAACAAACTATGTCACACACTTGTGAAATTTGAACTATATTTTGTTCAAACTTTCTCAAATGAAAAAATGGCCTATATAAGGATTGTATATCTTGATGAGATTAACAAATTTGGTATTCAAAACTTTTCAATTTGAGACAATCTAGGGTTCAAAACTAGTTTGTAAACGCCGAAATTCACAAATTTGAACCTTCCAAACTATCTCAAATGGAAAGTTGACCAAAACAAAAATTGTAGATATTGATGAGTTGAACAAACTTGGTATTCAAAACTTTTCAATTTGAAGTCATTTAGAGTTCATAATACTAGAGTCAAAGTCCACCTGGTCAAACTTGCTCAAATGAGACACTAAATGACCTCAGATGAAAAAACTCTGAATACCAAGTTTGATCATCTCAACAATATATACAATTGTTACATAGCTCATTTTCCCATTTGAGAAAGTTTTATCAAACACTAGTCACAAATTCTTGAATCTCATATAGACTTTCTCAAACTATTTCACACACTTGTAAAATTTGAACTACATTTTGTTCAAACTTTCTCAAATGAAAAAATAGCCTATATAAGGATTGTAGATCTTGATGAGCTGAACAAACTTGGTATTCAAAACTTTTCAATTTGAGACAATCTAGGGTTCCAACTAGTTTGTAAGCATCGAAATTTAAAAATCACAAATTTGAACCATCCAAACTATCTCAAATGGAAAGTTGACCGATGAGTTGAACAAACTTGGTATTCAAAACTTTTCAATTTGAAGTCATTTAGAGTTTATAATACTAGGTCAAAGTGTTGTTTTTCATTTGACCAAATTTGACGGTCAAACTTGCTCAAATGAGACCCTCAGATGAAAAAAACTATGAATACCAAGTTTGATCGCAAGATATACAATTGTTACATAGCTCATTTTCCCATTTGAGAAATTTTTATCAAACACTAGTCACAAATTCTTAAATCTCATACATACTTTCTAAAACTATGTCACACACTTGTGAAATTTGAACTATATTTTGTTCAAACTTTCTCAAAATGAAAAATGGCCTATATAAGGCGGTGATCTTGAATCAATGACCATGACTCCATGAGACCCATGAAGCAATGTGTTTGGCTATTTCTACTCATGCCGCCAAGATGGTGCTTATATGATGTTTGATGATCGTATCTTTATCTTATTTGTTGCTTTACTCTTTAGTCTTTCGCTTAATCTAGATGGATTATGGACTCATAGAGTGGTGTAATGGTTTGGCGCATTGATATATATATATATATATCGCTTTTACTCAATATCCGAATAGATATTTGTATCCGACCTTCTTCGAATCCGATTAATACCGTATTCGATACTCATTATTCATATCCGTAACCGAGTCCATCCGTATTCGTATATGTATCCGAACGCTATCCGTGTCCGAATCCGAATCCGAACAGAAATATGAAAACAAATATAATATGCGTGATATCCGTTCGTATCCGATCCGTTTTCATCCCTAGTCTCTAGTCTAGAGCAAGAAAGAGATTCGAGAGCGCTTGCCGCGGGTCTGTGTCGGCGTCGGTGTGGCTCTTGCGCTGCGTCGGCGGCGTCCGTCCCCATCCCCCATCGGCCCATCCCGATCCCCAGGCTATTGCGTTATTTGAGCAACAGCAGCGACAGTTCCATTGGTGATGGGCTCTGACTGACGATCCTACTAGCCTTGGCCGCTGCTCACTGCTGTACGAGACGAGATCCACACCGGGCCACCGTGGACCGGGAGCATTGCGCATTGGATTTGGACGTCACCGGGGAAGGGGACTCGCCGACTCGTGGTGTTTGGCTTTCACGGCGCGTCGGCGCGTGGCCGTGGAACGAGGCGAGGCGAGGCGACGACAACGAGCAGAGCAGATCACGGCGGTGATCGTGGACGTGTTTTTGTATATATTTGGCGCGGCGGACGGTATTTGGCGCGGCGGTGATCGTGATCGTGATCGTGGACGTTCGCTTGGCTCCGTATTTTTACAGTCAACGAACAATATTTTTCTCTCACAATAAATCAGCTAACAGTACTTTTAGTCATGTCTTATCAACCAAACGACCATAAAATTTACTCCCTATCTCATCAAATGTTTAGACATATACATATAATATTAAATATAAATTAAAATAATAACTAATTACACAGTTTGTGTCTAATTTGCGAGACGAATCTTTTAAGCCTAATTAATTCATGATTTGACAACGTGGTGCTACCATAACAATGTGCTAATGACGGATTAATTAGGCTTAATAAATTTGTCTCGCGGATTACTGACGAATTTTGTAATTTGTTTTTTTATTAGTATCAAACACTCTATACGACACCCACTCAATGTGACATCTTAAAACTTTACATTCTGAATTTAAACAACAACTGCATTTACATCAAGCCCTTGTTTAGTTCCTCCAAACTCACTCGCACTACATTAAACTTACAGTGCATGCGGTACTTAAATGTATTTACAAATCAAAACTAATGTAAAAAACGTGGGGCAATCTTTCCTGGTCCTGAGGTGAATAAATACAAACAAAATACTGTAGTAAGAAAATCTTCACGTTGGCGGTGTCCTGGTCCTGCGGTGAATAGTGACGTTGGCGGTGCCATACTGGCATGGCATGAGCCTCGTGCTCGTGCTCGTGCTCCTGGCTCCTGCTCGTGGCTTTCTTCAGCAAATCAGCTTCGTCAACTCATGGTATAGTTTACCATGATGAATGTACCAGTACATATACTACCTGCAAAGTACTACTAGGTATTTTACTCACATGACCAACTTACGCTCAATTCTAATAATCGTGGCATCCAAGAAAGTCAAAGGATTCCAAGAAGAAGAAAAAGCATGCTATTTCTTAGATATATGTCTATAAAAAATATACAATTCTTGCTCCCCGAGAAGCCGAATATATTCAAGTTTGACCATATCTAAAAAAAAACATTAACATTTATGATACCAAATAAGTATCAATAGGTTAATTATGAAAATATCTGCATACAAAACCGATTTGGAAATATAAATGTTGATATTATTTTCTATAAATTTGATCAAATTTATGAATGTTTGATTGACCTTAAACCTAGAATTTCATTCGTTTTTGGAGGGAGAGAGTACGCATTTCTGGTGTTTCTAAGTTGAGTATATCGTGCCATGTCAATTGTTTCATCCATACATAGTTCTTCTAAGAAAGAAGGATGAAGGTATGCCTCATGAAACAATCGTCTAATATAATCTACAACTACAAATTAGCACTATGAAGTGACTCAAGCTCTGTCATGTTGTACTCTCATGGTCTTAGAATATGCTCAATGTATGCTCCTATATAACAATTGACAACTAGAACAACCCAGTTGCATACTTGCACTAAGCATACCATCCTCATTGTAAGGAAATTGACACCTAGCAAGTGTCATTAAGTGTTTTGGTGATTGTATGACAACATGGTCAATGGGACTAACATTATTTTCTAGTATATAAGGTTTTAGTTCTATGGATGCAAGGCTGGAGTTGGGATTGGCTACACTAAAGACCAAACTAATCAACACCTCAAATGAAGATCAAGTTAAAGTGTTAAAGGCCTATATCAAAAGAAGTCGTAGCCGGGACAAAGAGATGAATGAACTGGTCCTGTCTCATGATTTTAGATCTACTCAAACTGATTTGACATCAAACCAAAGTTGTAGATCTCTTCATTAGCTTTCTAGAAGTCCAAGATCATCAAAATCCGACGGAGCAATAAGTTACACCCAAAATATGAAACCACATTGAACTCCGGTGACTTTTTCGATCTCATCAGAACTCCAATTGGCATGGGATCAGTTCAAAGTTGTACAACTCTTCATTATCTTTGAATGAAGTCAAAGATCATAAAAATCAGAGTTCGGAGCAAAGAGTTACACCCAAAACACAAAAGTGTGTCGTGCTGAAAAATGAGCAGCGGAAAGCTCGTGCCCAGAAGATAGCTACGGTGATACAACTCCGGTGATCATCGAAAGT